GGGCTTTCTCCATGTTGGTCAGGCTGGTCTCAAACTCCTGACATCAGGTGATCCGCCTGCCTCAGCCTCCCAAAGTGCTGGGATTACAGGTGTGAGCCACCGTGCCCTGCCTGTTTTGCTTTTTTATCAAAACTTTTTGTTGTGGTAAAATACACATAACACCAAATGTGCCATTTTAATTCAGTGGTATTAAGTGCATTCATAATGTTGAGATACCAACACCATCATCCAGCTCCAGAAGTTTTTCGTCTTCTCAAACTAAAAATCTGTACTTGTTTTGTCTTGTTTTTGAGATGGAGTCTCACTTTGTTGCCCAGGCTGGAGCGCAGTGGTGTGATCTCGGCTCACTGCAACCTCCGCCTCCTAGGTTCAAGTGATTCCCCTGCCTCAGCCTCCCGAGTAGCTGGGATTACAGGCGAGTGCCACCATGCCTGGCTCATTTTTGTGTTTTTAGTAGAGACTGGGTTTCACCATGTTGGCCAGGCTGGTCTTGAACTCCTGACCTCAGGCGATCCACTGCCTCAGCCTTCCAAAGTGTTGGGATTACAGGCCTGAGCCACTGCACCCAGCAAATCAGTACTTATTATAAACAATAACTTCCCGTTTCCTTTTCTTCTGATACCCACCATTCTACTTTCTGTCTCTATCATCCCAACTATGCTACTTCATATAAGCAGAATCATTCAGTATTTTTCCTTTTGTGATTGGCTTATTTCACTGAGTATAATGTTCTCACAGTTCATCCATGTTATAGCATGTGTCAGAATTTCTTTCTTTAAGGTTAATATTCCATTGTATGCATGTGCCACATTTCGCTTTCAGTAGTTATTTTTAAGCTCTATAAAATAAAGTGAAGAAAGAATAGTTCACAATCTAGTAATAGCCATTGCCTGTTTCTCTTGCAATCTTGTTGGAAATGATAGGATCATGATTTCAGTCCCAACAGAGATGCTTGTGGAGGAACAGCCCATCCCTTTCTTGGGGCAGCCTCATTAGGGAGACGATAGCACTCCTAATGGAGTCACAGGTAGTATTCCAAAAGGAGTTTGGCCCTGGAGTTGAGTAGTTACATGCAGGGAGGGACCTCACAACAGCCAGGGACTGTTTCTCCTGCTCATTTAACCCTGTGTTGCCCCACACAGTATCGTGAAGAGCGCTTCCGACTGACAAGCGAGAGCACCAACCAGAGGGTCCTATGGTGGTCCATTGCTCAGACTGTCATCCTCATCCTCACTGGCATCTGGCAGATGCGTCACCTCAAGAGCTTCTTTGAGGCCAAGAAGCTGGTGTAGTGTCCTCTTTGTATGACCCTTCCTTTTTACCTCATTTATTTGGTACTTTCCCCACACAGTCCTTTATCCACCTGGAGTTTTAGGGAAAAAAAATGAAAAAGAATAAGTCACATTGGTTCCATGGCCACAAACCATTCAGATCAGCCACTTGCCAACCCTGGTTCTTAAGGACACAGGACATTAGTCCGATCTTTCAAAATCTGTCTTAGGGCTTATGAGGAATCAGAACCCAGGACTCAGTCCTGCCTCTTTTGCCTCAAGTGATTTTCCTCTGTTTTTCACTAAATAAGCAAATGAAAACTCTCTCCATTACCTTCTGCTCTCTTTGTCCACTTATGCAGTAGGTGACTGGCATGCGCCACAGAGCAGGCCCTGCCTCACTGTCTGCTAGTCAGTTCTGGGTTCACTCAGTGGCTTTGTGAATGTAAATAAGGGGCAGGTCTTGGCCCTAGAGGATTGAAATGTTTTTCTATATCTTAGAACTATTTTTGGATAAATTATATATTTTCCTTCCTAGTAGAAGTGTTACTGCCTGTGACTAGCTCCAAACACCCATGCAGTTTCTGCATTCTGGGTTTTTTTAATTTATTTTTTTTGAGTTTTGCTCTTGTCGCCCAGGCTGGAGTGCAATGGCATGATTTCAGCTCACTGGCAACCTCTGCCTCCCGGGTTCAAATGATTCTCCTGCCTCAGTCTCCTGAGTAGCTGGGATTACAGGTGCCCGCCACCACGCCCAGCTAATTTTTGTAGTTTTAGTAGAGACGGGGTTTCACCATGTTGGCCAGGCTGGTCTTGGACTCCTGATCTCAGCTGATCCACCTGCCTCAGCCTCTGCATTCAGTTTATTCACACATTTTTGGTTACTCCCATGGCAGCTCCTAGGATTTCAGTGGTCTGTGGGCCAGAAAGCAGGCATTGGGTCTGATCTCAAGGCTGTATCAGAGGGCCAAGCAGAGTTCTTTTGGATACCTGCTTTTCATCCCACAGGGCCTCAGAGTCAGAGGTAAGGTAGCAACAGAGCTAGCATGGGTTAATGCACTCTTACCCTCCTTCTCAACTTTTATTTAAGCTGTGCTAAATGTTTTCTTCGAGGGAACCAGATTTGGTTCTTTGCAGAATTTTCCAGTGAAATAAAACATGTTGTAATAGCTGCGTTTGAGATGAAATAAGAGGTTGTGGGCAGACGGGAGGCACCTAAAGGAAAAGAGGAAAGGTGCCTGGACTGCCTATGCAGATGACCTGGAGTGGACTTCACTATGGACTCGTGGTGCTAAAGCTTGGCTTGAACAGGCAGTCTAGGGGACATGGGAATACACAGGGTGGTTGCTCAGTCATTTGCAAAGGTCAACCAAATAGAACACACATTTGCAAGATATCATCTGAGGAAATTAAGTACCTTCTTAGCCATCTGAATCATAAATTTGAACAAATATACTTCCCTCATGCCCTTCTGTATAAAACTTAATACCATTAGTTCCCCATTCTTGACATTTTATTTCAGTTATTATGTATTTATTTGAAATATTTATTAAATTACCTGACCCACAGAACTAAATTCTTCTTTTGTTATTTATGTCCTGTACCATATATATACCTATATATATATATATATAATTTTTATGTTCATTTATTTGAGACAGTCTTGCTCTGTCACCCAGACTGGAGTGCAGTGGCATGATCTTGGCTCACTGCAACCTCTGCCTCCCGGGTTCAAGCAATTCTGCCTCAGACTCCTGAGTAGCTGGGATTACAGGCACCTACCACCACACCCGGCTACTTTTGTATTTTTATTTTATTTTATTTTATTTTATTTATTTATTTGAGATGGAGTCTCACTCTGTCGCCCAGGTTGGAGTGCAGTGGTGTAATCTTGGCTCGCTGCAACCTCCACCTCTTGAATTCAAGAGATTCTCCTGCCTCAGACTGCTGAGTAGCTGGGATTACAGGTACCTGCCACCATGCCCAGCTAATTTTTGTTTAGTAGAGACGGGGTTTTGCCATGTTGACCAGGCTGGTCTTGAACTCCTGACCTCAGGTGATCTGCCCACCTCGCCTCCCAAAGTGCTGGGATTACAGGTGTGAGCTGGCTGGGCATGGGTGATGGGGTCTTGCTCTGTCCCCAAGGCTAGAGTGTAGTGGTGCCATCATAGCTCAAAGCAACCTTGAGCTCCCAGGTTCAAGTGATCCTCCTACCTTACCCTCCAAAGTAGCTGGTACTACAGGTATACCTCACTGTGCCTGGCTATTTTTACTCTTAAAAATACATGTGGTCTGGACACGGTGGCTCACGCCTGTAATCCTAGCACTTTGGGAAGCCAAGGTGGGTGGATCCTATAGCCCAGGAGTTCGAGACCAGCCTGGGCAACATGGCGAAATCTTGTCTCTGCAAAAAATACAAAAAATTTAGCTGGCGGAACACGCCTATAGTCCCAGCTACTTGAGAGGCTGGGATGGAAAGATCACTTGAGCCCGGGAGGTCAAGGCTGCAGTGAGCCATGATCGTGCCACTGCACTCCAGGCTGGGCAACAGAGTGATCCCATCTGAAAAAAAAAAAAAAAAAAAAAAACGCAATTTAAGACCAGGTGGGGTGGCTCACACCTATAATCCCAGCACTTTGGGAGGCCAAAGCAGGTGGATCACCTGAGGTCAGGAGTTTGAGACCAGGCTGGCCAACATGGTGAAACCCTGTCTCTACTAAAAGTATAAAAATTAGCCAGGCTTGGTAGTCTGTGCCTGTAATCCCAGCTATTCAGGAGGCTGAGGCAGGAGAATCGCTTGAACCCAGGAGGAGGCTGCAGTGAGCAGAAATCGAGCTACTGCACTGCAGCCTGGGGGGCAGAGTGAGACTGTCTCAAAAAAAAAAAAATTTTAGTTCTCTAGGCTTTTCCATTTAATATTTTTATATCCTCATATTTCTAAATCTGGATAATAGTGTTACAGTCCAGTAAGGTGAATTGTGAATTGCTGAAATTCTTCAGATGTTTTAAAGAGTTTTCAGTATTCCTCATGTTGGAATTAATGCAGAGAAAAATCATGTCCTTTGAACTAGTTACATGTTGTGGAATTCTGGCCTGCAGCTTTTGGGGATTATGTGACATACTGGGAGGGACACATTTCTGCTCTGTGGCTGTTATTAGAAATCTAGTCGGCAAATCAGACTAAGCTTGTGAGAAGACAGGAAGGCACAGATTAAGGTTGAGCCGGCCTTCAACAGGTTTGGCTGGCAGTAGACACAATGGAGCACATCTTAACTATTCTGGTAGGTCCTGGGTTTCTCTTGGTAGTTTTTGATAGAAAGGGGAATGGTGTGAGGAAAAAGTGGGCACACATTTCACCTTTCCACTGATGAGACAGGTGGAATTGGGATAGTCAGTGGATGGGCCAATAGCTGGTGGCTGTGAGAAGAATGAGGATTTCCATACTGTTGTGTCATATTTGCAGATAGGTTGTGACCTAAAAAGTTTTTTAAAAAACAGCAGTTAGGGGCCGGGCGCGGTGGCTCATGCCTGTAATCCCAGCACTTTGGGAGGCCGAGGCAGGCGGATCACAAGGTCAGGAGATTGAGACGATCCTAGCTAACATGGTGAAACCCTGTCTCTACTAAAAATACAAAAAATCAGCCGGGCGTGGTGGCGGGAGCCTGTAGTCCCAGCTACTCAGGAGGCTGAGGCAGGAGAATGGCGTGAACCTGGGAGACGGAGCTTGCAGTGAGCCGAGATTGTGCCACTGCACTCCAGCTTGGGCGACAGAGTGAGACTCTGTCTAAAAAACAAACAAACAAAAAAACAGCAGTTAGGGTACACAAAAATTTTGGTGATTTTCCCCTGAATACTACCCTTGACTCTATTTCGAAATTCCTGCTTTCTCAGAGTTTACAACATCCTTGCCAAACAGCCTTCTCCCTCCTTACCACAAAAAAAGAAAAAAAAGTTCTGGGGTTGGGAGGACACTCCATTCTTAACATCCTCTATATCCCAGCCCAGTTCCCCAGCTCTCGCTGGGACTAGTTGTACCTATCTTCATCATTTGGTCCCAGCATCATCATTTGGTCCCAGCATGACTACCCATTGGTGCATGAGCTGATCTGTTAACCTAACAGCCAGATGCTAGTCTCTGGTACTCAGATGCTGGGTTGCATCATATAGGATACACAGGATCACCCTGGAAGCTTGTTGACATAGATTCCTGTGCAACACTCAGATACAGTCTTAATGTAGATTTGTGTTGGGTGGTATGGTAGGCAGAATAATGGCCTACCACTCTGAAACACGTGAATATGTTACCTAACATGACAAAAGAGAATTAAATTGCTAATCAGATGACTGTAAAATAGATTATCCTGGATCATCTGGATGGGCCTAATGTAATCACAAAGGTCTGTTTCCTTGCCTCTTCCAGCTTGGCTCTGGCTCCCTTCCTCCAGCAAGGGTGGGTTGAGCCTTCACATGGCACCACTTTGACCTCTTCTGCTTCCCTCTTCTACACTGAAAGACTTTTGGGCCAGGAGGGGTGGCTCGCACCTGTAATCCCAGCACTTTGGTAGGCCGAGGAATGCAGATCACTTAGCCCCAGGAGTTCAAAACCGTCCTGAGCAACATGGCGAAACCCCATCTAGAAAGAAAAGAGAAGGGAGGGGGAAGGGGGACATACATATATACACACACACATATATGTACGTACATACATACACACTAACTGGACGTGGTGGTGCGTGCCTGTAGTCTTAGCTTTCCAGGAGGCTGAGGTGGGAGGATCGCGCCAGCCTGGATAACAGTGAGACCATGTCTCAAAAAAAAAAAGATTTGTGATTAGGATTCTTGGTCCTCACCTGTATTAGTTTCCTATTGCTACTGTAACAAATTATCACAAATTTAGTGGCTTAAAACGACGCAAGTCTGTAGGTCAGAAGTCTGACACGGGTCTTAACTGGCGACCCGAGTCAGACTTGGGACACAAAGAACAGAAACCAAGCTGTGTAGGTGTCTGACAGGCAGCCCGGTTAGGGAGCCCTACAGCAACCCGCCCTTCCTCCCTCTCAGGCAAAGTTGCTGCCATGGCTCATTATTCCAACCGGTTCCCTTCAGCCCAGTCGATCTCAGTGGCTCCACCATAGGGTCGTGTGCCCGGCGGGACCCTAACCCTAACCAAGCAGGGAGACGGTCGTGCCCCTCACGACCTCGGCCCTCGGCCCTCGGCCCCGGCCGAGGTTTCTCCTGCAGGTCGCGAGAATCAGGTGCGTCAGCGGCGTCCGGGAACACCGGAGGAGTCTCTGGGGCGGCTCTGCAGTCATAAGGACCCCTTCGACCCCAGCACGGCCGATCCACCGCCTCCTCCTAGACCCGGTCGCTGGCGCTGCGCAGTCGCAGAGCTCCGCCCGAACACCGGAAGCCTAGGCGCCAGCACTTCCGGGAAGTGACGGTGTCTCCGAAGCTGATTGGTTGTTGCTTTGCCCCCCGCGTCCGTGGCTTTTTTCCTGCAGTGCGTGCGTGCTGTCGCTAGTGAGCGGCGCCATGGAGGACTCAGAAGCACTGGGCTTTGAACACATGGGCCTCGATCCCCGGCTCCTGCAGGTACACGCGAGGGCTGGGGAGCCGGCTTATGGGCTCCGCGGGGCGCGCCATCACTCTTCGCGCCGCTTGAGCCGCACTCCTGGTCTCTCCTAGGCTGTCACCGATATGGGCTGGTCGCGACCTACGCTGATCCAGGAAAAGGCCATCCCACTGGCCCTAGAAGGGAAGGACCTCCTGGCTCGGGCCCGCACGGGCTCCGGCAAGACGGCAGCTTATGCTATTCCGATGCTGCAGCTGTTGCTCCACAGGAAGGCGGTGGGTAACGAGAAAGCTGAGGGGAGGAAGGAGGCGAGCTCCAAAAGCCTGGGAAGGGCTGTTCCCGTTTGTCGGAGGTTTTCTCTTGGTCCTGTACCCGTGCAGGCCGGCCTGAGAACCTGGTGCTGTTGTGGCAGACACTCTGGGCTGTAGTAGTTCAGGTTACCTGGATCCTTGTCCAGGCCCTGCTACCACCAACCTTTGCGTAATCTTCAACAAAGCACTTTATTTTGTTTCTTAACATAAAAAGGGAGCACATCTCTTTTTTCTACTTACAGAATTATTGTGAGAATTTAGCTTCATAACTAGTACGTTTAAAGTAGCTTCATAAACATAGAGTACGTTATTCTTTTTGAGGGTCAGTGCCTGAGGAAACAACTCTCCACTCTGCATTCTGAGGCTGGCAGAGTGATAGATAATCAAAATACTGCTGAGTAGGGTTGCAGCGATGGGTCAGTTAGGCTGGAACGGGTAGAGAAAAGCATCAGGTGGACACAGTGATGTGCACTGCTGGCTAAAGTCTTTAATTCATATTCTTACAGACAGGTCCGGTGGTAGAACAGGCAGTGAGAGGCCTTGTTCTTGTTCCTACCAAGGAACTGGCACGGCAGGCACAGTCCATGATTCAGCAGCTGGCTACCTACTGTGCTCGGGATGTCCGAGTGGCCAATGTCTCAGCTGCCGAAGACTCAGCCTCTCAGAGGTGGGTAAAAGCAGCAAAGCGGTACCTGAATGAAGCCACACAGAGTTGTGGGGTTGGGTTTGTGTGTGGCAAAAAAGAGCAAGTCCAGGGTGAGATCCCAGCTGCTACATTGTCCCTGATATTGATGTCTTGCCCACCTGCAGAGCTATGCTGATGGAGAAGCCAGATGTGGTAGTGGGGACCCCATCTCGCATATTAAGCCACTTGCAGCAAGACAGCCTGAAACTTCGTGACTCCCTGGAGCTTTTGGTGGTGGACGAAGCTGATCTTCTTTTTTCCTTTGGCTTTGAAGAAGAGCTCAAGAGTCTTCTCTGGTAAGGCAGAAGTGGGTGTGATTCCTAGTGGAAACATCTGTGAGTAGGAATTGGGACGACAGTCAGGTGGCTGGAAGCCAGTTACTACAATTAGTGGCCCTTGGAGCTGGAATCTCACTGGACTCTTTCATTTCAGTCACTTGCCTCGGATTTACCAGGCGTTTCTCATGTCGGCAACTTTTAATGAGGACGTACAAGCACTCAAGGAGCTAGTATTACATAACCCGGTAAGAGGCACCATGGAAGTGTCTGGAGCTGCAGGCATGGGGGCACTCAAAGATCTTGATGCTCCTCCTTAGGGGAGCCTTTGGTGTTTTGGGTGGGACAGTTGTCACTTAGTGTCTCGTCCCTGGTCCTGAGGCACTAGAAGTCAGTGATCTAAAATCACTGTATATTTCCCAGTGTCCACAGGGGATGTCTCCCATTTCAGGCCATACTTTGCCTAAAATCCTGAGCAAGGACCTCCCCTCAGGGGCAGCTTTGAGCAGCAGAGCGAAAATTCTAAGGCCAAGGTTCTCATCTTAAGTAAACTTTACCTTTCAGAAGGTGTGTTGCTGTAGGCCTTCCCTCCTCGATGTAGTCCTTTATTGATGTGTTTCTCTTTGTTCTGTGCTTGGAAGTATTTTATATATGGTTTTGGTGGTATACTCTATATACCACAACAATTAGGGCATTTTGGGGTTTTAGGTTACAAAACTGGAGGAGACTTAGGGTGCCAGGAATCCTTAAATGCATCTCTGCCCTGCACTAAAATGTTGATGCTTTGATTGGTGAGTAAGTGGCCATACCATCTCTGTGTTCTTTTCCTTTCTGACCACAGGCCTGTTTTCTCCCCAGGTTACCCTTAAGTTACAGGAGTCCCAGCTGCCTGGGCCAGACCAGTTACAGCAGTTTCAGGTGGTCTGTGAGACTGAGGAAGACAAATTCCTGCTGCTGTATGCCCTGCTCAAGCTGTCATTGATTCGGGGCAAGTCTCTGCTCTTTGTCAACACTCTAGAGCGGAGTTACCGGCTACGCCTGTTCCTGGAGCAGTTCAGCATTCCCACCTGTGTGCTCAATGGCGAACTTCCACTGCGCTCCAGGTTTGCTACAGCCAACATCTTGGTTGAGATAAGTTGAAGATAGAGATGGAAAGGGGACCCAGTTAATGTTCTGTTTCTTAAGCACTTAGTAGGGGCCAGGTTCGAGATGTAACTGATACTGACTGACTTCCCCCAACTCCAAAATCCCTATCATGGCGGGGCGCCGTGGCTCATGCCTGTAATCCCAGCACTTTGGGAGGCCAAGGTGGGCGGATTGCCTGAGTTCGGGAGTTCAAGACCAGCCTGGCCAGCATGGTGAAACCCGTCTCTACTAAAAATACAAAAATTAGCCAGGCGTGGTGGCAGGCGCCTGTAATCCCAGCTACTCAGGAAGCTGGAACAGGAGAATTGCTTAAACCCGGCAGGTGGAGGTTGCAGTGAGCTGAGATCGTGCCATTGCACTCCAGCCTGGTGAACAAGAGTGAAACTCTGTCTCAAAAAAAAACAAAACCCTGTCATTATTTTATTTCCAGCTGAGGAAACTGAGGCACAATGATTAAGTAGGGAAAGAGATTAAGAAGAGGAAAAAGTAGGAAAGGGTGATGGTTACTATGATAGTAGGGATGGCAGAGGGGTCTCAAGCTTGCTCTGCCGAGCTGATTCTCTGTCCACTCTTGGCTGCAGGTGCCACATCATCTCACAGTTCAACCAAGGCTTTTACGACTGTGTCATAGCAACTGATGCCGAAGTCCTGGGGGCCCCGGTCAAGGGCAAGCGTCGGGGCCGAGGACCCAAAGGGGACAAGTGAGTCCATGCCTCTTTTTCCATCCCTCCCCAGAAAGACCGGTTTCTTTTAGCTTTTTGGAAGACTAAAACTGGAGTGCGCAGAGCAGGGAGCCAAACCTTCCAGGCCTGGCTGGTAGTGTAGCCCAGAGAGCCCCGCAGGTTCTTGCTCAGCTGCCTGGATATAAAGAAGGGAGTGGATGGTGCACACTGCATATGCAGCATGAAGGGCAAGACTGGTGGGGTTGTTGGCATGCAGAGCCCTGCAGGGGAGATGGCCTGTCCTGCATGTGGCTGTGACTTACAGGGAGCATATTTCTGAAGGGAAAAGGAACCCCCCAACTCTCCAGTCTCTCTCCACCTGAAGGCTTGACTAGCTCAGGGTTGGTTCTCAGATCACCATGTAGGGCATTGAGTTCTGCTGTTGTCCCAGAACGGAGGTCAGGCCAGGATTTGGCTCCATGTCAAAGCTCCAGGCTGCCCCAGGAAACCCTGACTCCTGGAACGGTTCCGTTGTTGAAGAGTCCTCTGTATGTCAGGGTCTTATGATCTACAGGCATTGTTTAGAGGAAGTTTTGCTGATTCAGCTTGTGAATACCTGCCCAGAGGAGAGGAAGGGTCCGACTGACATTGAGTTATCTCTGCAGGGCCTCTGATCCGGAGGCAGGTGTGGCCCGGGGCATAGACTTCCACCATGTGTCTGCTGTGCTCAACTTTGATCTTCCCCCAACCCCTGAGGCCTACATCCATCGAGCCGGCAGGTAGGAGGGCTAGGAGCGTGATGGCCCAGGCACCTGTGTGGTGGGCACGCTGAGGGACTTGGGGTGTACTGTACAGAGCCTGCGGTTGGAGATGCAAGCTGCACTGTCTCTCCTTGCAGGACAGCACGCGCTAACAACCCAGGCATAGTCTTAACCTTTGTGCTGCCCACGGAGCAGTCCCACTTAGGCAAGATTGAGGAGCTTCTCAGTGGAGGTAAGAGCCTGGCTCTTGTGGGCCTGGGCCAGGGTCAGGCTTCTCGCACAATGCTTTAAAATTCCATGATGATGATGACAGAGGTCACAACATAGTATGACACGCCACTTCCACCATCCATCCTTGTTTTGCCCTGAGTGGCAGGCACTGTTCCCCTTGAGAGATAAACAAATTGAGGTAATTTGTCCAAAGTCATGTTTACTGTCTGCCTCATGAGCGTTGAGTGACCTGACATGCTGCTGTGACAGCTCAGGACACCACCTGACCCCAGGGTGCTGGGTGATCCTAGACTGCTCTCTGTGGCCATCGTCACGGGGTACCTTGACTCCCAAGGAATACTATGGGGTACTCCTTGGGAGAGGAGAAGAGAGTGGGCGACGGGTTCTTGGGCTCGGGGCCACACAGGCCACCCCCATCCACACACAGGGACAGATGGGTCATCACTGTAAGAGGTCCAGGTACAGCTAAGCTACATGTTTGGCATCCCAGGAAGGCGGTGGGTCCCCTGCAGCTTTGCCCCAAGGAGAAGGTGCAGGAAACCTTCATTGAAGACCTTGTCCTAAGGCCTCAGCCTGTGGGAGCCTCACTGCTTTCTTCTCCACAGAGAACAGGGGCCCCATTCTGCTCCCCTACCAGTTCCGGATGGAGGAGATCGAGGGCTTCCGCTATCGCTGCAGGGTGAGCTGCTGTGGTGGGGAGGTGAATGAGAGGGGAGGGACTGTGGCCCAGGGATTGCACCCTGTTGCTGAGCATCCAGGCGTGAGGGAGGATTTGGGGCAGCCTCACTGTCTTGACCTTCAGTGTCCACCCCCAGGATGCCATGCGCTCAGTGACTAAGCAGGCCATTCGGGAGGCGAGATTGAAGGAGATCAAGGAGGAGCTTCTGCACTCTGAGAAGCTTAAGGTGAGGGGATGGGAAGTGAGGAGGGGACAAATCTTAGATGGCTGCCCTTTTTTGGAGACTCGCTGAGCTCCGAGTGGTGAGAAGCAGAGAACTGGGCCGTTTTCTGGCCTTTGGCACAGAAAGGGAGGAAATGGAAGGAAGCCAGTCTGTTCTGCTTGGTGGACACTGTCCAGCAGAATTACAAGCTCATGTGTCCTTTCATCCAAAATTCCACTTCTGGAACTTAATCTTGGTCACACTTGTGAATGTGCACGGTCAAGCATGTGTCTGCATTCCTCATGGCATTATCGTGGAACCAAAAGATGGAAACAGCCTGGGGCCACCATCGGGGGCTTGCTAGGTAAGCTCAGGTGCATCCAGAGCCGAAAGTTACATGGGAAGGAACGAGGTTGGTTGTGTGTCCATATGAAACAGTCTGTAAGGTGATGCCCAGCAAAAAGTGGTGCAGGAGACTGCCGTGTGTGTCGTGGAGAAGGGAAAATAGAAACGTCCACTCCCGGGAGGTGTGAGAAATGTGCAGAAGCAAGTGCCTCATGCCTTTTGAAACACGTGACTGTGTTATCCTTTGAAAGCTCAGTCTATGAAGTCACACAAGAAAGATGCTCACGCTGTGGCTCTCCCTCTTCCCCCGGCAGACATACTTTGAAGACAACCCCAGGGACCTCCAGCTGCTGCGGCATGACCTACCTTTGCACCCCGCAGTGGTGAAGCCCCACCTGGGCCATGTTCCTGACTACCTGGGTGAGTGTGGCCTGACGGGGCAGGAAGTAGCAGGCTGGGGAAGTGGCATTAATTTCTCCGCTGCTGGATCAGCCCCTGTGCTTGGTGCTGGGGATGCTCAGGCAGAATAGGACCTGGAGACGCTGGCAGCACACCGGCTTGTAAACAGGCACACCCCTGTGTTTCTAAACTTGTTTGCTTGGTCCCACAGGTTAGCTGTCTCTGTCTCCATTTTAGAGATGAGAAAATTGAGGTAGTGCAGAGTGGGTGGCAGACCCAGGATTTCAGGCCAGGTGGTCTCCAGAGCTGGGCCAAATTGCTATCCATGGGTCAAAGGGAGTGAACAGGTTTGGGAGAGAGTCATGGGCAGGAGGCAGAGAAAGCCACCTGAGCTGCAAAAGACTCAAGATTAGCAGCCACTGAAGAGGCATCTGTGGAGTCTGTGGGTAAGAACAGTCAGCAGGGAGACAAACACTGTAAGGCCTAAACAGAAAAGGTGGCAAAAGAAGAGCCAGTGGTGGTGGGAGGAATGCGGGGGTAGTGTAGGCATGGGGTCAGGACCCTGGGATTGGTTTCTGTGGTGCAGCCCGAGCTAGAGCTTTATGTGACCTTTAAAGCTGGGGACCTCTCTTCATCTTAGGCAGGCTCTGGGTAATGACTTCTTTCAGTGTCTCATAGGAGATGTTTTTGGTAATGAGTATGTGTGACTTTTATGCCTAAAATGGATTGAAGGAGAAGAGTGGTGGAGATGAGGCTGTGGGCAGCAAGTGCAGGACCCTTCCCAGTGCCACAGGCTCTGCTCAGCCTGGACCTGCAGCCACCCAGCGGGTGTGGTGTTGCTGCTGTGGAGGTGACAAAGGGTGGAGATGGAATGTTCCAGGGCAGGAAAAACCTGGACACTGGGAAAGGAAGGATCCAGAAGAGATGGGAACATGAAAATGCCAGAGAGAGCGGTGGGGGCCAGGTTCTCACAGGATAGTGAGCTGGAAGAGACCCCAGTCCAGGTCCTGGCCTGAGATGTGAGGAGGGGAGTTGGGAGGGTGGGTAGGGAGGAAGAGGGTAAGGCCAGAGCTTTGGCCTGAGGAACCCAGTCTGCTGCTATAGCGGAGTCACTTGCCAAGGTGTGGCCAGGAGGTTTAGAAGGACCGGGAGAAGGTGGAAAGGTGTCAGGATGTGGGATGTTTGACACTTGAAGAGGAGGGCCCACGTGTGGTTGGCTTGGGGGAGTCCGTGGGGTGGGCGAGTTGAAGATAGAGCCAAGATCAGGTGCAGCTGGGATGTGGGCCCCCTGTATCTGTAGTAATGGGCCACAGGTGAAGAAATTACCTGTTGCCTTTTATTTCAGCTACATTTTCTTTCTTTAAGGGTGTCTTTTTCTTTCTTGTTACATGTTTATTGGAACAAATCTAAACAATACAGGAGAGTGATTTAGATAGTGGAAGTCTAAGGTGCTCACATTCTCCTAGCCCTGTGCAGGTGTGATAGTGAACAGGTATATGTCATAGGCTGCCAGTTGGGTCAGAATTGGAGAATTTGCTGCAGAATCAGTGGGAGGGCAGGGATGGGAGCAGTAGTGGTGAGCCCACTGCTCAGGCAAGCATCTCTTGCAGTTCCTCCTGCTCTTCGTGGCCTGGTGCGCCCTCACAAGAAGCGGAAGAAGCTGTCTTCTTGTAGGAAGGCCAGGGTATGGCTCCTGGGGACTTGGGGACAGCTGCAGGACTCCTCCCCACCTGCTCTTTGTCATCACCAGAATGTGTAGGCGCCTTGCCCTAGGGAGAGGGGGAGAGGGCACCCTAGAACCGGGCCCCCAAAATCTGGTGGCTGGGACACAATCTGGTGTAGGATAGGGATACTTTTGCAGCCGCCTGCAGGCCCTGCTTTTCTTTCCCCAGCTGCCTTTCCCCATTTCCTTGTCTGCAGCACCTTCTGGTCGTGTTGGCCAGGTGCCGGCACGGCTCCCTTTGTGTCTTTCTCAGTTGGGTGGGTGGGTGGATAGTTTGTCAGCCTGATTCCCCCAACTAACCTGTGACTTTGCCTCCTTAGAGAGCGAAGTCCCAGAACCCACTGCGCAGCTTCAAGCACAAAGGAAAGAAATTCAGACCCACAGCCAAGCCCTCCTGAGGTTGTTGGGCCTCTCTGGAGCTGAGCACATTGTGGAGCGCAGGCTTCCACCCTTCATGGACAGGCGAGGCTCTGGTGCTTACTGCACAGCCTGAACAGACAATTCTGGGGCTGGCAGTGCTGGGCCCTTTAGCTCCTTGGCACTTCCAAGCTGGCATCTTGCCCCTTGACAGCAGAATAAAAATTTTAGCTGCCCCAGTTTGTGCCTCCGGCATATGAAAAGGACTGTTCGAATCCCCAAAACATCAGGAGTCAGGAAACTTCTGGAAGACAGCAGCGCCTGGCTCTGCAGCTGCATGCAGTGCTTCACTTGGCCAGCAGAGGTCAGCTGTGCTGAGCTGCCCCAGCCATGAGAAGAGAAGCCTGCCCTTGCTGGCAGGTGGCTATGGCCGGCCCAGAGCCTTCCTGTGCAGCTGCTGCAGCCCTGCTGCCTGGGATCAGGCTGGGAGATGGGCCTTCCTGACCGCCAGCCTTCCTCTCCCCCAGCACATGCACATGTAGATTCGGGGGGAAGCTGCCTGCTCTTTCTTAGAGGATCCAGGGCAGTTAATCTGCTGGTCCCTTTCTGAACAACTGTTGATGTGTGAGCTGTGTCTGTGTGTTATGTGCGTAAGCGGTGGTGTAACATGCACACACATGTACTGTTCCTTGTGCCCTGGCTTCAGCTCTCCAGCTGCCTTCTCAGCCTGAAGGCTGGGCTTCTCTGCTGCTTTGAGGCCCTAGATTGCATGTCACCTGCTTACTAGGCGTCACAAGGCCAGGCTGGGGACATGAGGAGGTTGGGGCAGCGGGAGAGTGGGGAGAAACTAGGGGAGTGCCTGCATATTTTAGAAAGAACCAAGTTTTTTCTTGGCAAAAACTTGTACAGAGACGAGTGAGGCTGGGCCTTTGGTCACGGTGGGACTGAAGCCAGCAGGACCCGAGATTTGGTGCCTCCATGATCCCTGCTCCTCTTCGGTTAATGCCCAAGGATTTCCATGAAGCCAGCGTGTATGATGGGGGCAGGAAGGTGGTATTTTCTGGGCAGGCGTGAACTAGAGCTGCCAGGGAGCTGCAGACAGTATTCTTGCAGTCTGGTGGTTAGGAGTATTCAGAAGGAAAAAGTTAATGGAACTGGCGATAAAGAGCAACCATTTGAGCATCTACTGGGAGACACCTGTCAACTGCACAGACCCTATCAGTGGGCATCACTCCCACCTCTTGGAAGACGAGACAGGGCAGAGAGTGCCTGCAGTGCTGAGGCCTGGTCCTTGCCCTAGGCTGGCCTTCCCATCTGACTTCATGGAGTGCTGAGGCTGGTCCTGAGGACAGTGAGTGCCTTGGATGTTGCGACCAAGCTGTGTTCTAAAGTGATGCACAGCCTGTCTCCACTGTGTTTATCTCTCTGACCCTGTCACTACCAGTCACACCCTACCAAGAGAGCTTGTATCCCAGAGCCACCCTGGATGGAGAGGAGATTGGTTTCCCCAGTGATTTCCTTCTTGAGGGGATGGGTAGAGGAACATGGTGCTAGCCTTTGCTGTATTCCTGCATGGGGACAGCAGGGTCTGGGCCCGGAGCAGAGGAGCTTGGGTAAAGGTATGGTGGCTGTTTGTTCAAAGTGTACATTCAGGCCGGGCGTGGTGGCTCACGCTTGTAATCCCAGCACGCTGGGAGGCTGAGGCAGGTGGATCACGAGGTCAGGAGATCAAGGCCATCCCAGCCAACATGGTGAAACCCTGTCTACTAAAAATACAAAAATTAGCTGGGCGTGGTGGCACGTACCTGTAATCCCAGTTACCCGGGAGGCTGAGGCAGGAGAATCGCTTGAACCCGGGAGTCAGAGTTTGTGGTGAGCCAAGATCGCACCACTGCACTCCAGCCTGGTGACAGAGCGAGACTCCGCCTCAAAAAAAAAAAAGTGTACATTCAGGGCCAGGCCCGGTGGCTCACACCTGTAATCCCAGCACTTTGGGAGGCCAAGGCAGGTGGATCACGAGGTCAGGAGATTGAGGCCAGCTTGATCAACGTGGTAAAACCCATCTCTACTAAAAATACAAAAATTAGCTGGGCAGGATGGTGAGCACTTGTAATCCTAGTTACTCGGGAGGCTGAGGCAAGAGAATCACTAGAACCTGGGAGGTGGAGGTTGCAGTGAGCCGAGATTGCGCCACTGCACTCCAGCCTTGGCAACAAAGCGAGACTCCGTCTCAAAAAACAAAAAGTGTACCTACCTTCCTCCTAATGGCATCCCTGGGGGAAGTTATTTCTACATTTTAAGTGGGAAAGATGAGGCTCAGAAGTTGCCTGGAGTATGAGGTTCTGTGCAGGGTTTGGACCCTGGCCTGTCTACCCTGGTGGAATAGCTGGTACCACGGGGGCTTTTGCTGTGGGGTTAGGCACCATGTGGGTGCTCTGGGGCCCTGGCATTGGATAGAATGGGAGGATTGCTTGAGCCCAGAAGTTCGAGGCTGTATGATCACGCAGCTGCCCTCCATCCTGGGCAACACACTGAGACTCTCTGTTTTTTGTTTTTTGTTTTTTGTTTTGAGACAGAGTCTCGCTTTGTTGACCAGGCTAGAGTGCGTTGGTGCAATCTCAGCTCACTGCAACCTCTGCCTCCTGGGTTTAGACAGTTCTCCCTGCCTCAGCCTCCTGAGTAGCTGGGATTACAGGCGGCCGCCACCATGCCTGGCTATTTTTTGTATTTTTAGTGGAGACAGGCTTTCACTATGTTGGTCAGGCTGGTCTTGAACTCCTGACTTCAGGTGATCCACCTCGGCCTCTCAAAGTGCTGGGATTATAGGTGTGAGCCACCATGCCTGGCCGTGAGACCCCTGTCTTTAAAAAATAAAGGACGGGGGCTGGGTCTGGTGGTTCACATCTGTAATCCCAGCCCTTTGGGAGGCCGAGATGGGCAGATCACTTGAGATCAGGAGTTCGAGACCAGCCTGCCCAACATGGTGAAACCCTGTCTTTACCAACAACAACAAAAAAAGCCAGGTGTGGTGGCCCACGCCTGTAATCCCAACTACTCGGGAGGTTGAGGCAGGAGAATTGCTTGAACTTGGGAGGCGGAGGTTGCAGTGAGCTGAGATCGCTCCACCGCATTCCCGCTTGGGTGACAGAGCGAGACTCCGTCTCAAACAAAACAAAACAAAACAAAACAAAACAACATCAGACACCACATGGCAGGATCCAGGATCCAATCAGATCAAGCTCTGGCATCACCCCATGGCAGGATCCAGTCAGATATTACCTCCCAGCATCACCTCATTGTGAGATCCAATTAGATCATGCTTCATTACCCTTTGCTTATAAAACCCAACCCAACCCCTAGCTCAGGAAAAGAGATTGAGCATTCCCTCCTTCCTTGCCAGTTGACTTTAAAGCTTTTCTTATTTCAAAATATAAAAAAGAAAGTATCTCTGCTGGGCATGTTGGCTGGCTCATGCCTGTAATCCTAGCACTTTGAGAGGCAGAAGTGGGCAGATCAACTGAGGTCAGGAGTTCAAGACCAGCCTGGCCAACATGGCAAAACCCTGTCTCTACTAAAAATACAAAAATTAGCTGGGCATGGTGCCTGGCTAATTTCCACGCCCGGCTAATGTTTGCATTTTTAGTAGAGATGGGGTTTTGCCATGTTGGTCAGGCTGGTCTTGAACTTCTGACCTTGTGATCCACCTGCCTCGGCCTCCCAAAGTGCTGCAATTATAGGCGTGAGCCACCACCCCCGGACCTCTTGTTCCTGATTTTAGAGGAAAAACTTTCAGTTCATCATAAAAAAAAAAAATATTTTTCGAGACAGAGTCTTCCTTTGTTTTCCAAGCTGGAGTGCAGTGATGCAATTGTGGCTCACAGCAGCCTCAAACTCCTAGGCTTAAGTGATCCTCCTATCTCAGCCTCCTGAGTCTAAGACTCAAGGTATGTGCCACCGCACCAAAAATTCTTTTTGGTAGGGTCTTGCTTTGACCTTCCTTTGACCTTGCTTTGACCCTTGGTTTGACCTTGCTTTGACAGGGTTTTGCAATGTTGCCCAGTCTTCTCTTGAACTCCTGGACTCCAGTGATTCTACCACGTTGGCCTCCCAAAGCAGTGGGATTATGAGCATGAATCATTGAGCCTGGCCAGCCTTTTGTCAGTATTATGTAAGCTGTGGGTTTTTTTGTTGTTGTTGTTTTTGTTTTTGAGATGAAATCTCACTCTGTCGCCCAGGCTGGAGTGCAATGGCACAATCTTAGCTGACTGCAACCTCTGCCTCCTGGGTTCAAGCGATTCTCCTGTCTCAGCTTCCCAAGTAGATGGGATTACAGGCGTGCGCAACCACACCTAGCTAATTTTTTGTATTTTTAGTAGAGATGGAGTATCAACCATGTTGGCCAGGCTGTTTTCTAACTCCTGACCTCAAGTGATCCACCCTCCTCAGCCTCCCAAAGTGCTGAGATTACAGGTGTGAGCCACCGCACCTGGACTTTTTTTTTCATGTATGGCCTTTATCATGTTGAGAAAGTTACCTGCATTCCTTGTTTTCTGAGTGGTTTTATTATGAAAGAATGTCGGATATTGTCAGATATCTTTTCTGCATCAGTTGAGAGAATCATGTGATTTTTTTTCCCCTTCATTCTATTAATCTGGTATAGTTCATTAGTTCATTAATTGATTTCCATATGTTGAACCATCCTTATATTCCAGGAATAAAGTCTACCTGGTCATGGTGTATACTCTTTTTTTTTTTTTTTTTTTTGGGAGATGGAGTCTCGCTCTGTGGCCCAGGCTGGAGTGCAGTGGTATGATCTCAGCTCCTTGCAACCTCTGCCTCCCGGGTCCAAGCGATTCTCCTGCCTCAGCCTCCTAAGTAGCTGAGACTATAGGCATGCACCACCCCACCCGGCTAGCTTTTGTATTTTTAGTAGGGAAGGGGTTTCACCATGTTGGCCAGGCTGGTCTCGAACTCCTAACCTCAAGTGATCTGCCTGTCTCGACCTCCCAAAGTATGGGGATTACAGGCTTTAGCCACTGCGCCCAGCCAATGTGTATAATCTTTTTAATACGACGTTCAGCTTGGTTCACTAGTATTTTTACTCAGTATTCATGAAGGATATTGAATATTTTATTCAATATTTATGAGGTCTGTAGTTTTCTTGTAGTGTCTTTGGTTTTGGTGTCAGTATACCATAGGATCAGGATACTATGAACATGCCCTCATAGAGTAAGTTAGGAAGTGTTCTTTCCTCTTCAGTTTAGGGAAGAGTTTGAGAAGGATTGATATTAATTAGGGTTTTGTTTTTTTTCTGAGATGGAGTTTTGCTATTGTTGCCCAGGCTGGAGTGCAATGGCGTGATCTTGGCTCACCAGAACCTCTGCTTCCTGGGTTCAAGCGATTCTCCTGCCCCAGCTTCCCGAGTAGCTGGGATTACAGGCATGTGCCACCACGCCCAGCTAATTTTGTATTTTTTAGTGGAGATGGGGTTTCTCCATGTTGGTCAGGCTGGACTCGAACTCCGACCTCAGGTGATCTGCCCGCCTCGGCCTCCTAAAGTGCTGGGATTACAGGTGTGAGCCGCCATGCCCAGCTAATATTAATTCTGCTTTAAACATTTGCTAGAAT